TTCATTTATTTAAAATTCATCGCAAAATAATGATTTTTCACAAATAATCATCTCATATTCAACAAGCGCGAGTGAAATAAAATTGTTTTATTTAAAATCGCCCCCAAAATACACAAAGCTAGGTAGAGTCTGCATACGAGCCAAGTGGCTCATCAGGCCGGAGCTTATCCCGGTTTTTGTAGCATGAAGCGACTAGGAATATTTCTACTTCTACCTAGACTGGGATGCAGTCCATCGCAGGGTCACCCCACAACTTTAAATTCGCCGGTACTCATTTGTACACCTGGGTTGAGAGAAGCACTGTGAGAGTAAAGTGTCTTGCCCAAGAACACAACACAATGTCCTCGGCCAGGACTCGAACCCGGACTGCTCGATCTGGAGTCGAGCACGCTAACTGTAAGGTAACCGCGCCTTCACAAAAAAAGAAATATACAGAAAACCAAATTAAAAATAAAATAAAAATAAAACGCCCNCGAGGACCCCGGTTAATACGGACACTTTGGCATGTCCCCTTGGTGTCCGTATTAACGGGGTTCCACTGTATTATTAATACTTTTACGTTGTGTGGAAGGAATTTTTACCGTGTATAAATAAAGTTACAACTCAAGCTCTCTTCCGATCGATCGGGCTCAAGAAGGACAATGCATATGGATTTCCAGAACTTTACCAAACAGCATGTCGTATGACTGAACAAATTTTCACCAGTTTTTAAAGAAATGATAGAAGAAAAGAGGTTTATAATTGCACAGCGGCTCAAAGTCATTGTCTTAACAGACGTGCTTGTTTAGAAGAACACACAAAGCGGAAAAACTTAAAACAAAAGATAACCTTTTTTCCGCGTTGCTTTAACTGCGTATTTGAATGAAAATTGAACAAGCCGATTTAATTGTCCTTCAGATCACAGGCACTGAGACCAATATTTCGCTGAAGCGATGAGATCCTTTCTTCTCGTAGTTTGCTGCATTTTGGCTTTAAGCTGCAGTAATTTATCGGCTCTGGGAAAACAAGTAAGCGATGAAGGTAAGTGCTATAAGGATTTATTCAATCTGTGTTTATAGTTTCTGATAGATTAAGCCAGAGGACAGTGCTATAAGTAGATAATGTCGCAGTTCTCTGTCACCTCTATGATAAGTTACGTGCTGACTGAGCAGTTAGTTAGTTAACAAGCAATAAGTTGAAATTAGCAAAAAGTATTTCAGCTTACTAACGGGTAAAGAAACCCGCTCTTTGAATGTGAAATTGTTTAAAAGTTTTCAAAGAGTGAAAATGGTTCCTTGATCAACCGGGCGACTACCTGTAACATTAAGTACAGTTAATAATCGTTGTAGAACTCATTTTAATATTGTTCAAATCTGGCTATTAAATGCCCAAAACAGAGCTGCAAGTTTCAAATGCATTTGTAGCGGTATTGTGATGGGAATCAACAGAGCAAAATAATTTATGCATTTCCTCTCCGCATTTGAAAGGCACGCAGGTGAGCAAACCTTACAATTTCACATCTGAGTTTCTCGTAAACAATGGGTCCGTTACGCCTTTCCAACGTTACTGAATCGAAATGTATTTTGAATCTACTCAGAAAATTACTTTTTGGAAGAACTGTTGGAACCACCGCCTCTGAAAAAAGGGCACAGGAAGCGTTAACTGTTGGCATTTCTAGTTTTGAGATAGTTGAACAGTTTGTTTTACAAGTTAGCTTAACTGTATCAAGATGATGCAATGTGCAAGATATATTATTAAAACAAGGGTTTTAAACTGCCAGAGAACAGCGAACAACAGTTTAACATTTAACGAATTGACGTCAGTTCTCTCATGCGTATGTCCTGTTATTGATCATGAATTTAGTCATAATATTGTCAAAGTAGCTGTGGATCCACGAGGCGATAGCCGAGTGGATCCGCAAATATTATAAATTCATATGTCTTCGTGTCCGCTTAGTGACAGTGAAACTCTGAACGATTTTTGATCCGACATTTCTTTTCTTTTCGAACCAGTTGTAATTACTTGATATGACACTCTCGCCGTTAGCTTTTGTTTTTACAATGTTCTATTAAAAATTGCCGTTAGAATTTCTCGTGTAATATGAGAAAAATGAAAGGAAAAGGGCAATAAAAAAATTCGGAACGGTCAATCGCAAAAAGAAAAAACCAAAAAGTCCAAATTTTGGCTTATATACGCATGCACCAAATTAAAATATTCTTCATTTTTGTACTTAAAGTTGGGGAAACCTATCTGTTTGGCAAAAAAAAAGCTTTTTCTGCAAAACTAAGGCCCATTTAGTGACATGGCAGCCAAAAAACTGATTTAACGGTTAAAAACAGCATTTTTTGGGCGACCATTTGGTCGTGAAAGGGTTAACAGTCAGTTAATTTTGTCAAGCGGTGTTCAGATACAGAGAATAAATTTAAGACTCATTGCACATGCAACAAGGATGAGTGTGCTACTGGTTTGGTTACTCTGCCATCACATCCCACTGTGCTCTCAGTTCAGCAGCAGTTAGTAAAACTGCGCCCTGAGCATATCTTGGATAACAAAATCTTGGGCAAACTTCGGAAATATTATTCAAATGGTGTGACTCTCAATCCTTCCTGCTGCTAAGTACTGCGTCAAACCGCAGTATTTGTCGTGCAAATGAAAAGTCGTCTGATTTTGTAACCAAAATAGATCGTTTGTAGTTTCTGCTATTTAAAGCAGGTTAAGATATTTGTGGAAATAGCATCAGCAAAGCACTATTGGAATAGCGGATTAAATTTGTAAAGATAAAATGATGGTTCTGGCCAAAGATAAACCTCAGTGATCTTATTTTATCTACATCATGTGTGTCAGCAGTCCACTGCTGTACCGTTCGTGTATAGCACTTAAAACATACCTTGGTCAATTTTTTCCCAAGTAAGATCTTTCCAATAAGATGAAGGATTTCGTGACTTTTGCCTAATTGTTTGTTTGGCAATACTCGCAAAACGGAAAAACTCATAACAAAAAATTAACATTTTTTCCGCGTTTCTTTAATTGATTATAAATTAAAATTATCAACCTATTTTTAGTGTCTGTTTACTGGGACGAGGAAGCATTTCGCTGGAGCGATGAGATCCTTTTTTCTCGTAGTTTATAGCGTTTTGTCTTTGAGCTGCAGTTGTTTATCTGCTCTGAAAGATGACGTAAACGACGGAGGTAAGAATTAATATTGATTTAGACTTCATAATTAGTGTCTGACAGATCAAGCAAGACCGTAATCCACTCATTAGATATTGCCATGAGCCAACATGTTCTCTGTCAACTCTAATAACTCACTGTGTTTACGGATCGGTGTCAGTTAATCAACAAGCAATTAAAGTTTAAGGTACATATAGTGAAAACTTATTCACGAGTAACGGTACTTCATCTTTGTGCAAAATGGAAAATTTCAAAAATTTCACAACGTCAATTGGGTGATTAAATAAAGAGAGTTAATGTGTATGCTGTTGTTTCTATAATTAGTCTTCTGTTTACTTTATCAATGTGTTAACTGGAATGTGTTCGTCAATGGACAATTTAAGCAAATGAACGAACTATCTTATCTGCAGTGGAGATTATTTAAAATATTGGAAATGATAAAATTGGAATTATGGCCAAGGCCTCGAGTGCCAGTTATAAAAAGTGCCACTTTCGTATTAAAGAAATACTGTTCAGGAAACTGAGTATTATATGACAGAGCTGAAGGTTTTTAATTCATTTGGAAGCTGTCTTGTTTATAATGTGCAAACCAGTGACGCCCTGATCTAAGGAACATAATTCGGACGAAATCAGTATTTTTCCGCATTCGGAAGCTTACGCGGGATAGAACTGTTTGAACTTTATGACGCGTTTTTTGTAGGAACGGTGCACCGCAATTCGAGTCGACAATTGACGTTCTTCAAGATTTGCCCAGGAATCTTTGTTAATAAGTAAATGGAACAACCTAAGTTAGCAAATGCCTCCGCCTTTCTAGCACGGACACCGAAGGGACGGGATTCATTGTGTAATGGTGCTTTAACAGAGAAACCAATTAAGAAGCCGTCAAAGGACTGGAAACTCGATGATAAATAGCGATAATGAATACTAGCAAGCGTCCCGATACGAATTTGGGTTTTCCGCAGTTACTGAGAAATCTCAGTTTTACTCTGTAGGTTAGCTTCCTGTCACTGTCCATATTTGATTTGTCAGTCTTTTTGTCACTTCGCCCAACATCTGTTACCCAGTTTCTTTTCATTTTCCCCGTTGTCCACAATGTCACACATGAATGTGTCAAATAACACTCTAGCGAATTCCGGTGGAATATTCACTTCGCAAGTTTCCCACTCTGTCCGTGCATTCTTGATTTCACTCTCCTAGCTGTATTGTATTGTATTCGAAAACCAAGTAACTTAGAAGTAATGGTCGCTCACAAAATTAAAAATTGAGATACTGAAATGCAGACTTTGAAAAAGTTCTATTTTAGCGTTGGTTGATCTTGAGAGAGTGTGAAATTTTGGAAGGCAGGTTGTTTTTGATATCAGGTTTGCGATAAATCAAGCACCGTTTACTGGTATTTCGATGGACGTTTAAAAATACTCCTCGCATAAAAAAAAAATACAAAGTCTTTACCTTTCCGTTGGTGCGGTAGCTTGTGTGCCTCTAGGACCCCTCAAGCTATGCCATCGGAAGCCTTTGTACCCCCGGCAGGTTCGACCACGCTGGAGAGACCCAGGACGAGGAGCAAAAAGGAAATAGACATCCAGGTCCCCTCAGGTTGAGTATATGACTACGACCCTAAAAGGCAAGCTGAGATGGACAGTGACATGAAGGAGGTCATCGTGATGAGTGGAGGAAGATGTCACGGGACAGTGAGAGAAGCAGGAGAGAAAATCCTGGGTTTCAGAAGAAAGAAGAAAGACGAATGGATACCAGAAGGAAAGTGGGACAAACTTAACTTAACAAGATCAGTGAGATTTAAAAACTTCTAAAGGAAGAAATACCAAGACCTGGATGGGAAGATGAAGAGTTTGGCTAAGGGAAAGTAACAGGTGGATGGAGGGGCACAACACTCTGGAGTCTCACAACCTAAGTGTTCAGTAATGTCATACAAGAGCGATAACTGCCACCCTGGAGAAAGACATTCGTAAATAGCAAACCAACTTCCGTCAAGGGAGAACCCGGAATACCATATCTTTTCTCTCAGGCAGATAATGGAGCGGGCGAGGTAATGGAACACCTCAATCTATACGCCAACTTTATAGACTTTGGAAAGCGTTCAACAGTATCCACAGAGAAACGCTATGGCGCAACCTGTGGTATGCAAGATAGTGAATGTCATCAGGATGCTGAACCACGCTTGCCCATCTCAGATCATCTGCGTTAACAAGTTGACGGCGAACCTCCCACTATCCAAGCGGGTGTAAAGCGGAGATCCAAACTCTCTATGTTCCTATTTTCGCTTTTCAGTATCAACTGGGTCAAGAAAGACGGAGCAAAAGATCAAAGAGGCATTTGTTGGACTTTTTCCAATGTCTTCAGACGACATAAGCCTCTAAGCCCACCGCTACATGACACGAAAAACCAAACATCCACAGCTTTTATGCTTGCACCTAAGGCCAGCACGAAGAAAACCAAGCACGTGAGAATGAACCACCGTTCAGACGCATCGATCATCCTGCATGAACAGTAAGCAGAAGAAGTCAAAGATCTTACGTACCGTAGCCCTAAGATGACCCCCGATCAGAAGAAGAAGCAGTGAGTCAGTTATCAAGGCAATGCTTTCCAAAGCAGGGCAAGCACTTGCCTCTCTCAATAATATCTGGAAAAGCAAGACGATCAGTTTTAAAAAAAAAACTACGCTTCTTTTTGGGTAATGCTTGCACAACGCCGCTGTATGGGTGCGATTCATGGAAGATCATAAAAGCCATCTGCCACAACCTGACACAAACATAACACAAAACTTACAACCTGAACATCTTCTGGTCCACCACCCTTTCGAACGCCGAACAAAACCGGACAACCTCAGCCAACAACATCAGCTCCGAGCTAAAGAAGAGAGATAGGCGCTAGATCGGNATCTTTTAACCCGTGTTAAGACATTCATAACAGTCTTCCACGCTGTGACTCGTGGCCTTCGGTGGATGAATGTCCAGCTTTCCACTTTCAGTCGACAGGATGGCATAACACATAATTTACGGTGCTGAAATTCGGTTAATAGGTCATGCCTGTTATCCTGGAAGAGGCAGATGATATATAACAGGAGAAAAAGAAACAGAAGCCAAGAGCTCGTGACAAAGCGTCCGTCCGCCATCTTGAGTGGTCATATAAGTGAACTGAACATCTTCTGGTCCACCACCCTTTCGAACGCCGAACAAAACCGGACAACCTCAGCCAACAACATCAGCTCCGAGCTAAAGAAGAGAGATAGGCGCTAGATCGGTGGCGTCCTCAGGATGGAGCCATCTGCCATCAGCAGAGTCAACATGAGCAGGAAAACCCTGGAAACGAGCAAGAGCAATGATCGAGAGAGACATGGTGACGGACGGTAGAAATTTAATTAAAGGTGACGCGTGCGAGAGAAGTCAGATTTTAAGAGCTAATTTTATGCGCCTAAGGGAACGAGGAGGATTCAGTGAGAGCGTGGGCACAAGAAATATTAAAGTGCGCTTTAAATGATGATTTTGTTTATTGTTTTCGCTACGAACGCTTACTCCTGCAAATAACTACCGCCACAACATACTCTTAAGATAAGCAAAAACCATTGGAAATCTTCCGTCAAGTGCTATCTTGAGATGTAGGATTTCGTAGACAGTTCCAACCTGTTTGTTTGGTAACACTCTCAAAGCGGAAAAACCAAGAGCAAAACAATTTTCCGGGTTGCTCTAATTGGTTGTGAATATAAAATTATGCCGTGCGATTTAATCGTCAGTTTAAGAAATACTGCGCTGAAGCGATGCGATCCTTTTTTCTCCTAGCTTGCTGCATTTTGTTTTCGAGCTGCAGTAATGTATCTGCTTTTGGAAATGACGTGAGCGAAAGAGGTAGGTAGAAATATGGATTAGACTTCATAGCTAGTGTGTCACAGATCAATCCACACGGCAATCCGCAGATAAGATAATGTGACTCAATGTGTGCTCTATCATCTCCATAATACACTGTAAGTCTCTGTGCCTATCGAGCGGTGCCACTTAATCAACAAGGAATAGACGTTTTTCGTAGTAAAATGGCTTTTAAACTTATTCTCGAGTTAATAACCCCTCTGTGCAAAATGAAATTGGAAAAACAGTCAAAATGCCAACTTAACGGACATTGGATGATTACATAATGTGAGCTAAAGTATCTTCTGTTATCTCCACAAACTACCTCGATCGACAAGCAACATATATTGACAGTAGTCTTAATTTTTCTACAAGTAAACGAACCCTATCTGAGCAGCGTGAATTATTTGAAAATTTTCGAAGCGATAAAATTGGAATCTTGAACAATGCGTCGGATGCTAGTAAGGAATAAATTACGCTTTAGATGTCAATTACATACTGTTTGAAATCTGACTCTTGGTGCATTTGGAGGTTCTATTATATAAAACGCGCAAAGTGACGCCAACCAAGTAACTGTAGGCCACTTTTGGACGAAATTATATTTTTGCGCATTTGGAAGCCAAGGAAAGAACCGTATGAACATTACGACGCGGTCTCTGTCATGAGCGGCTCACCACATTTCAGTTCTTCAGAAGTTGCCCAAGAATATATACTAATAAGTAAATGGAACTCTTTAGTTTTACTACCTAATGTGGATACTGAAAGGACATAACAAACTCTGCATTACTGAACAGTCCGTATAATTGAGGTCACAGATATGACGCCATTGTTAAGGCTATTCCAATGGCATAAAGTATTCTTCAAGTCAAGTACGTCTTTGAGACGAGATGCATTTAAATTGCTCAATAGTCACAGACGTCACTGCATGACAATCGTGATCAAGTTGTGCACTGAACCTGCACCAGACTTGTTTATTGTCACTGTGTTTCAACTAATCAGAGTAACGTACCAGTAAAGCGAGCATCCTCCAAAAACACTTTCACTCTTTTGATAACGAAATCTCGAAGCTTTCTTTAATCTTTATCTGTTTGAAGCCGGTTCGCTGACATCAGTGTAATTTTCTCTCATATCAGTTCATAATGGCGAAAGTGAGACCACGCGATCTTTGCCCGGATGATGACAACAACAGAACGCGCAAAGAACCCTGGTTGATCGAGGGTGCTTCCATCGGAAGTCTGAGCACATTTATGTGTCTGTGTGAAAATAACCATTTTACAATAACTGTCTAATAATAAAGTCACAGAAATACAGTACAGCCCTAAAATAATGCACGCGCAAGACGTGACGCAAGAAGTTCATGCGCCGCAACAACACGCAAGCCGCCGCAAGCAGTTAAAATGTCGTGTTTTTGCAGTTTACCCGCAAGAATATTCGAAACGCAAGAAGCTGAAAATCTAACCGCAAGAAGCCGCAAGAAGGTAGCAGTGTTATAGTAACACTAGTTATTTATACTTGTGCAAGATTTCTTTCCTTGAAATCTTGCACCTTAATCACGGGCTGTAATTTTGGGCAAATCGAAAGCCCGGAGGATTAATGTTATTATATATATTGTTAGATGTACATATCCAGGATAGGAAATTTCTTATTACACAGCTAGGTGTGTAATAGTTCTAGGAATTAAGCATTAAGACTTATGAGGTTGCTCCTATTGATTCCCTGTAATAGAAGCCAACCCGTGTAAAACCGGGCTTTATCAAGACCTCTTCGAGTACGACAGAGCTGCTGGTTTTGAGACCTTAGGCAAACCGCAATCCGACAAAAACATTTTGGACCGTGCAGTGGGATGGTATCGCTTCACTGGCAAGGCTGGTACTCACATGGCTACACAGTGTGTTCCCTTGAAGCATTGCGGCACTGAAGCTACTGGCTGGATCAATGGCCCTCGTCCCTCTAAAGAGGATGGCGTCGTGAATCGCACGGTGTGTTTTCACTGGGGAGGGGAATGCTGCTTTTGGAAGACCACAGTGAAAGTAAGAAATTGTGGTGGATTTTATCTGTACTATCTGAGAAGAGAACCTTTTGGAGTGTACAAGAATTTCCGTTACTGTGGCAATAACGAAGGTAATGTTGAACAGAATATATTTGAATTGTCTTATTTTTTGTACTAGATGTAAAATATTTTATGTGTGAAAGACCATTGCAGCTATGTACTAAGTAGTTGTGAAAAGATCGCCCGAAAAACAAAACTTGAACTAGATTAGAACCCAGTGCCGTGCTCTGCCAATTGATCTAACCTATCGGGCCAACTGGGAGCTCGTCCCTTTTTGAGCCAGTTGTAATTATGCAAGTGAACTGTACTACTTTGGTCGAATGGCTTACATTATACAAAGACTATAGCAAGTTTCTACGCAACGTAGCAGGTTTGGAAAAGCCGGTCTGAAAAGGTTAACGTTTGAATAGACGCGTCGGCAATAGCGTTCAAAGTGGGCGATCGTCCGATCCCGAATGAAGAAATTATAGGACCAATGACGTACATCATGCACGTAAATCGGCAGCTTTTAAGACAAACGAGGTGTGCATAGAATAATAAAGCCGAGACTGTTCAGCATCAGTTAGTAGCAAACGTTCAGCACTAACTTATTTGAAATAAGAAGTTTTATTTGTAGTGACCATAGGATAATTTGTTACATAAAATTCACGGAATTTTGTTGACAATTTCAGCTATTACTATTGATCCATGTGACAAGCGCTTTTACAAAGTATTAAACGATGCTGATCGAGCTGCAGGGTTTGTGACAGGTAGCTCCACCTTGTGTGACCGAACATCAAAGAATAGAGTGATATATGACAGTTGGTATCGCTTCAATGGGTCTGCAGGTGTTGCCATGCCAACCGGCTGTGTCGATACAATGCGATGTGGGGCCAAGGCTCCTGGATGGCTGTACGATGGCCACCCAAGAGAAGTTGAAGGGGTGGTTCATCGATCTGTCTGCTTCCACTTGAATGATAAGTGCTGTTTCTACAAAACGGATATCCAAGTCAAGAACTGTCGTAGCTTTTATGTTTACAAGTTTCATAAACCGCCAGCAAAAAATCTGCGGTATTGCGGCAACGGTACAAGCAACAATACTGGTGAGCAGCAGTAACCTCTTGCAGTTTGTTTTAATAATGAAATTATTTGATGATGTTAATTGAGATGATCGTCATAGCTACAACTTTCCGTGGCCAGAATGGCCAGCAGGATTAGAGCAGTAAAAAATTGGAACACCTATAGTTTTTAAATACATGTTTCGGATGACCCACATACATCGTCACTAACGATTACAGGAAAACTGCTATTTAGTGAGACACAACAGCAGCGGATTGAGTTAGTACTGGACACAATACTGCTGAAAACAAAATATAAGACTAAAGAACGAAAAGCTTGCAAAATATCATCAGGAAAGTGATAACAACGCTAAGCTGATAAGTGAATGAAGATGGTGAATTTTAAGCTCGGTAATGAAATGTGAAAGGTGAATTGATCAACATGACAGGAGCGTGGGACAAAAAAATTAAGATGGTTATTTCATATGGATTTTTCACGCGCAATGTACAAGGCCTCCTTGATTTTAGCTGGAAAGTCAAGGATTAAAACTCAGTCCTCGGAGCATGAAGCCCGGCACATTCCTGATTTTTACAAATGTTGGAAAACGTCCGAGTTTTTTTTTTCTCCGTTGTTAGATTGTTCACGAATACATGTAGCAGGACGTCGGTTTGTTTCTCCGAGAAATTTGTAAGCTACCCGAGCACGTAATGTTTTGTGTATCGCATCTTTCACAAGGAATAAGTTCTTGATTTTGTAGGGGACAAAAACCAACTTGAAGTCTTAATCTAAACAAAGGCGCTGGCCGAAACCTCTTATTTCTAGGCTGAGTAACGCTCGAGACAAAATCAATAAAAGGTAATTTGTAATAAACTTTCGCTTGGGCTGATTCCGGTGGAGTACGTTTGGTAGAGGCAAAGAACTTATTGAAGTAATGATTAGTAATAATGTTGATCACAAAGTGGAGAGCGGGATGGATTGGAAGAGGCTTTTGTCCGAAATGTCAGACCAGGTGTTGTTGTAAATGATCAAGAATAATCTTATAACTGATACATTATCTGGCTTGTTTGTTTGGTTTCCGTAGAACTATCACCTCACGATACGTGCAAACGAAAACAAAAAGAAGAACGAGGTAAGTAATGTCGATTTCTTATATGGCAAATGGGCCACGTTCGATGTATCAATATTCTAACATGGATCCGAGGCTTTCGGGTCAAAATTACAATTTTTCTCACATGTACAATTCCCAAAAGAGACTTGGAAACAAATAAAACACCGCCAAATATAGAAGTTTGTCCTAAGAGCTTCGCAGTCATGTCAGAATATTGATCTATCGCACGTGGCTTCTTGGTCCATGATGAATTGTTTCCCCGAGCGGTCTGGGTTTGCTATACGCGCCTCCTGTATTGCATGGACCGCGCAAAAACAGCTTCGGCAAGTGGCTTTTCCAAAAGAGTTCCAAACTATTGCACAAAAGAAAACAGTTTCTTTAAGAAGAAATATATTTCCTTTCACGAAAGCGGCGGAAAAAATGCAAATATATGCTTAACTTTGGAGCGCGAGCTTACCGAGAATTGAATTGATATCAGTTTAAGAATTATATAAGAGCCATTATATTATGATGATTACTGTACAGAGCTAGCTTGCCCGGTCCATATTGGGGAATATCGGTGTAGTTCATTTTTTTACAAGTTTATATCGCTAATTGTTAATTTGTAGCAAATAGGGCTGCTCCATCATTAAATGAGACATATTATATACTCATTGGCTGTAAACAAGAGACTATTTATAGTCTGAAAATAACTGGCTTAAATTCCAAATTGAAGAGCTTTAAGCACAAATTAAACAAGGATATTAATATACACCACACCACTACCAGATTGAAATAGCTAACAATCTATTTCCAGCGAAAACGGTTTAAAATACGTGTCGCACGCGGATCTATTCTCATTAGAATACCAAAATTGCTTTTTTTTTCAAATGTTGGAGTACGCATTCCCCTACGCTAAAGAAAAACTCAAGGCCCTTGAGCGTGTCCAAAGACGAGCCACCAAATTTATCTTGAAATGTGATTTAACTTATCCAGAACTTTTAGCTAAATTAGGTCTTTTGCCTCTCGAGTTTAGGAGGGAGGTTTTACATTTATGTTTCTTTTACAAATGTCTTAAAAGGCACATTTATTTTGACTTCCTATCGTATGTTAGCTTCAAATCATATAAGCACGATATGAGAAATACAGAAGCCATGCTTGCAACGGGTCGTTTTAGAGTGAAAGTGAATCAGTTTTATATTAGTAAATTTAATATAAACTTATGTTAAATTTACTAAAATAAAACTTATTCACTTTCTTACTAAGCAATGATAATTGATCAATTGTCCTGATGGCTACAGGCAGGCTGTTCCATAAATCCACAATGCGATTGAAAAAAAGACCATTAGAATTTAAAGATATCTGTTCTAAAACGACCCTTGGCAAGTAATAAGGAGAAATTTTTATAGTTTTCTGATCACTTATTGTTGTTGCGATTAGCTTATGTTACTATTCTATGTATTTTATATCTTATCTCAGGCAGTTTATTTAAAATAAGGAATCTAGAATTCTGTATAAACTTGCCTAATTACTCAGATATCCCCTTTTTATATTTGTTAATATATTTAATTATTTATTTTATTTTATTTTGATCATCTGTGTAATTGAATTTGAGTAAATATGTAAATAATTGAATAAATAAATAAATAAGTGATTTCTATATGAAACATCAAAGAGTAAATTTCAATGTTCATTTTTTTTTCTTGGCAGACAATCCCTGTTTGTCCGGTGATTATGTCACACTATCAGAGCGTACCCGCGCTGCGGGATATCTAACCCCCAAAGGACATGCACAGTGTGACCGAACAGACTTAGATGATGAAGAAGGCTGGTATCGATTCAGTGGTAAAGCAGGTTCAAGGATGGCTAAGAGATGTGTTCCTGTCAGACGGTGTGGTACAAACGCCCCTGGTTGGCTGAATGGTTCTCATCCATCTGAAGGTGAAGGTGTGGTCAACAGAACCGTGTGCTTTAACTGGAAGGACGACTGTTGTCATTGGAAGACTGAAGTCAAAGTTCGCAACTGTGTTGGTTTCTACCTTTACTATCTGAAGCGAGACCCATGGGGAGGCTGCAGCTATCGCTACTGTGGCAATGGCAAAGGCACGTACACTTATATATTGAGCGCAAATACTGTATTTAGGCCCCTGACCCCGACCCCCGTCCGGGGGTTACCTTTCCAAAAACTCGGAAGGGAGCTTAATAGATATACAAGGTTTATTCAAATTACACCAAAAAACTAAGAGGTTACTTAATAAATTTCATGTTTCAAAATGGGAGGCAAATTAGAGAGGGGATGATCTTATTTGACAGGAAGGGTTAAACAGAGGAGTTAAAAATGCTTGTTTTAACCGTTCCATCTCTTTTTTTGTTTATCATTTAGGACCCACGAAACCACCGCCAACACAAGGCAAGTTTTTTTTTTAATTTATGCAAGTAAAACACGCTGGACTCTTTTTTTTCTGTTATATGCATGAAGCTCGTAAGGAAGTGAACACAGCGTGCGAAATAGAGAGTTTTAACTCACGTGTCCAGCAGCCACGCAAATTAAATTTATTGGAACAAAAGAAAGTGTTGTAAGTGAATAAAGATGGTGAATTTTAAGCTCGGTAATGAAATGTGAAAAGTGAACTAATCAATATGGCATGAGCGTGGGACAAAGAGACGTATGAGTCCCCGACAGGAATCGAACCCATGACCTCCCGAACACTGGGCGGACGCTCTATCCACTAAGCTACGAGAACTCATGGAGGACAAAGTCATTTAACTGAGTTAATATGTGACAGGCGTCCTGCATACTGTTAGGATCAGCAGTGTGGAAGTCATCGTGAGAGTGCCGGTAAGTGAATAAAGATGGTGTTCGGGAGGTCATGGGTTCCATTCCTCTCGGGGACTCAGATTTTTTCTTTGTCCCACGCTCGTGTCATGTTGATTAGTTCACTTTTCACAAAAGAAAGTGTTGACAAAAAAAATGAGTTGGACTCCCACGGGATTGGTTTGGAACACCAATATGGCAGCCATTTCATTGTTTTCAGAACACCAATATGGCTGCCGTGACGTCCTACGAAAACGCTCTGTTAGTGTAGGGATAAATACGAGCCTATAGACGAGTGTTTCTTTATACTTATTGAGTTTTATCACATCCCTGAATGCTATGTAATAAAAAAAGCACGGCCAAGCCTCTTTGATTTATTTTATCACAAAGCTCTTTAGCTATACAGGAAATTGGGTTCAAACAACTTTTACTTCTATGCTATTCACGCAGTATGACGTTGCGGATCGTGAACGACTGCATCAACAAACCGTTTTGTTTTAACAACTTCTTTTCAAAGAGTGTCTGAACTCCTTCGATAAAACCTCAAACCACTTGAGGTTTTATTACTAATTTTGTTTTGGAGCTACACTGTTTCAATCGAGAAGTTTCACTTTTCTTTTGGGTAAAAGGTACAAGTTTTGTTACGATCTGAAGCTGTACAAACGCAATAACGGCTGATAACAGTGTAAGTGCACTAAACCAGTTGCGTGACTGAGCATAACAGTTCGCCACAGTACAAGTGATATTCAGCTAATTCTACCGAAACACTAACAACACAAGGCAAGTTGAAGCCTTTCTTATAAAAAATATTTCATGGAGTTCGTGAAACACGAAACAAATGAAACTTTGCGTAATTAAAAATAGACCGTATTTAGCAATGTTTGGGCTCTCTTACGATTAACACTCAGCCTTTTCCATATTTATTTTCAGTGTCAACAGCCGAAACAACGGGAATGACAGGAACCACTGAATCTGGTATGTGACTCAAGATTAGTATATTCTGTAGCTAGTGTAATGATAGGACTGACATGTTTTTTCATAGGAGTTTATACAAACCACGACGGCGAGACAAACAGTAAAACGTCCGAAACAAAAGGTTGAATCCCCGTCCACACTACAGCGGAGGAATTTGAAAACGGAGGTTAATCAAACGGAGGTTAATCAAACAGAGGTTAATCAAACGGAGGTTAATCAAACGGAGGTTAATCAAACGGAGGTTAATCACTCTGAAAACGCAGCAGATGTTTTCCGTCCGCACCACGCCGGAGAAATGTAAAAACGCAACAATAACCGGTCATTTCGGAAAGCGTTTGAAAAAGCTCTTGTTTCGTGATGAATTATTAATAAGCAGGAAAGAAACTCTGCATGTGCTTATAACTTCTTGGCAAAAAGAGTGACGTGGAAAACGAATTATTGAATTTTTTGAATGCAGAACGCTGTCTTCGAACCGTTCGGCTGTTGCTACCGAGCTCAAACAAAAATATAAGCAAAACTGAATATATACAAAGAGTGGCGAGATTTTTAAGTTGGATGTAAATTGACTTTTTAATCGCCGCCATCGCGGTTGCGTAAACTCCCTATGAATGCGAACATATCATGCTGGAACCACTCGAGTTAATTTTGCGTAACAATTGATTCTGCTTTAGCGTGCATCATTAAGATAAGTTTAAGGGAGCGGTAAGTTTGGGGAGCACGAAAGAAACCTGAGATTTGCTTGTGAGCAACGCCCGCTTCTTAAGTGCTCTCCAAACACCATAAGTGCATCACAACTCGATGATACACAGCCAGTCGGGGACTCAGATTTTTTTCTTTGTCCCACGCTCGTGTCATGTTGATTAGTTCACTTTTCACAAAAGAAAGTGTTAACAAAAAAAAAAAAAATGAGTTGAACGCCCACGGGATTGGTTTGGGACACCAATATGGCAGCCATTTCATTGTTTTCAGAACACCAATATGGCTGCCGTGACGTCCCATGAAAACGCTCTGTTAGTGTAGGGATAAATACGAGCCTATAGACGAGCGTTTCTTTATATATATACAACCTTTATTTATACACGATAAAAGACGTCAAAGTTAACAAGCTTGTGGGGTCGTGTACTAATAAGATACATCAAATAACTACAATTAATAGATAAATAATTAATACAGTTAATAAAAAATTAATACAAGAATTAAGTAATTCTTATAAAAAATATAATTTTGATAATTTAACGACTGCATCAACAAACCGTTTTGTTTTAACAACTTCTTTTCAAAGAGTGTCTGAACTCCTTCGATAAAACCTCAAACCACTTGAGGTTTTATTACTAATTTTGTTTTGGAGCTGTACTGTTTCAATCGAGAAGTTTCACTTTTCTTTTGGGTAAAAGGTACAAGTTTCGTTACGATCTGAAGTTGTACAAACGCAATAACGGCTGATAACAGTGTAAGTGCACTTTAGCCTTTTCCATATTTATTTTCAGTGTCAACGGCCGAAACAATGGGAATGACAGGAACCACTGAACCTGGTATGTGACTCAAGATTAGTATATTCTGTAGCAACGCCCCCTTGTTAAGTGCTCTCCAAACATGGTAAGTGAAACACTACTCGATGATACACAGCCAAAAGAAGGAATAAATTGTTTTCATTTCTGACGGAGAAAAATGTGCGACAACAACCACTCGTACCAGAAAAAAAATTCCTCTAGTGAAGCGAAGCCAAACGTAAACGGCTTTGGTCACACCATAAGTCCTCATTACTGGATTTACTTCCACGTTAACAGAATTTCCTGGGTATGTTACAGATAATACTGCAAGGACCTCAAAGCGTTTGCAAGGCCTCGGCATAATGTTCCATTTCCCTTTAACGTAAATGTTTGAGTATATTTGCACTTATTGTTGCAAAATCAGATCTTTTATTATTTCTAAGTGTATCTGCCGCGCCAATCGGCAAAATATCAGGTTTTGCTATCTCTTTAGGAAAGATAGAGACGGGAACGGGCAAGGAGGGGGCAAGTTTAACCAGTTTGTTTGGTAATGTGAGTTATAATTTTCTCTTTTAGAAACAAAAACCCCACCAACCTCTGGTAAGTAAAAAGAAGTTCAGCACGATCATGGTCCACCATGCAGCCATATGCGCAAAGTGGATGATTCAAAAGTCAATGCTAATGTTAATCCGTTCGCAACTAAACTGTAGCTCACCGGACTCGTCCCCCGATGTTGAGATAAAATATTTATTTTATTAAGACGCGGGAGATGATGGGAAGGAGGCAGAGAGAAGAGAGGGTTCCTTCTCCCATCATTCATCAAATCCTGGATTCCTTTTCACATGAGACTGCACTGGGACGAGTCACGTATCTCAGACAGTACAAATGTGTTTAACTTAGCACGTGTGTCAAAGTCAGATTGGTACAGTCTTTCATATCTTAAGGACGGCTTGATAAAATAAGACTACAAGATTTACATTATTTATTAACTCTTACTTTTCCCATTACAGTTCCTCCACTTCGTGAAGGTAAGTGTCACATTTGAATCTGTATTGTAATAACTTAGACCCTCAGTACTTTAATATATTTCTGATTCATGTATCACTCCGCGAACAGGCAGACTTATTGCTTTACTCATTAACGCTTAACTGCAGTCACGTTTTTCATCTCGTCTTTTCACAGAGGTCAATGTCACGTGCCTTCAGAACGAAATGTACATCAGTATTCCTAGGTATCTTCTTCACGGCCTCGACGTGGAACATATTCGTCTTAGTGATGTAAGCTGTGGAGCCACAGAGACCCCAACCCATTTTATTCTCCACACTAGTCTGACGGAATGCCACACAAAGAGCAGGCACACCGAGAAGTTCATTTCCTACTCGAACAAGGTGGAGGAAATTCCCCTGGAAGAGGGTCAGATTATCACTCGTGTGCGTGAAGTAGAAATCCCCTTCACTTGTTACTATTCAAACATGGGAGTCGTGTCCGCTGTTGGTCTCGAAGTTAGAAGCAAGAAGATCATTTTCTCCAAGAAAGGATATGGAGAATTTGTACTGGAAATGAAGATTTTTCCAGATGACAAGTTCCTTGGCTACTACAAAAAGAACGATTTCCCAGTTGAAGTGAAACTGAGGCAAGAGCTCTACGTAGAAGTCAGCGTGGATACAGACGATAGCAGGCTCGAGATTCTGGCAGAGGAGTGTTTTGCTACACCTGACCCTGATCCCAATAATGACGTCTTGAGATACACATTCATCAAAGATGGGTACGAAACATTTGTTTTGTTTTTATAGGTCTACAAACCCGTACATGAGCTCTACATGAACTGCTGGCTGCTCAGGCTGTGCCGTCTGCGTCATTGAATTCAGATAAAAATCGGACTCACCTTGCCTCTTAGCCTCGGGATCACGAGTAATTAAGAAATTTCAAACTACATAAATTTTTTATGTATCCTGCAGAGCAGACGGCTATATCCTATTCACCCGCCCGTTCTCCAGGCTTTTATTTCTAAAACTGTCCTTGTTACAGTTGCTCCGTCTCTTTTCTCGCCAGCTGACTCTACCGTCACATACCATTTTTCCTTTGTCCTTCCTTATACAGATGTGCAATAGATGACACCGTGGAGTTCATTCCAACAGTTGACGAAAGGATTCAGCGGTATAAAGTGGAAGCGTTCAGTTTCGTGGGTGATCACCCGTTTGTGTACATGCACTGCAAGGTCAAGATATGTAACGCAACAGATCCTAACTCACGCTGCGCGCAGGGATGTCTGCATGACCGACGTAAGAGGTCGCTGTATGCTCAAGAGTCAAATGACGAGGAGTATAATTTGGCCCAGGGACCATTCATGCTACAGGAGGAAGATATTAATGAAGCAAATCTGCAAGAAACTGTTGATGGATTGCACAGTCTGGATATTACAGGTAAGCTAAGGCAGAATCTCCAGCGCAGTGATCAGCGCAGATTATCTGCATATTCTGCTTGCATGCTTCTACACTCTTTTACTAAGAGTCATACAGGGGTATTCTCGTGATGGGTGATTAGCTGATTTTATTTTCCGTGAAATGTGACTTTAGGAAATTATTCTTCGTGATCCGTGACCTGAAGGTTTTGCGTGACCCGGGAGGAACTTGAATTATTTACCAATATTCGTGATTTCACTACTCTATTCTACGTGATTTGGAGACGCGGGTCCTCCGAGTGGTTAGAGTCATGTATCAAGAGTGACTTAGACATACGATTTGCAATATGGAGCCTTGACTTAGCCTTTCACGATTTTTCTTTCTTCAAACACTCTTTCTAGTGCAAGAACGGGTTATTAAAAAGAGTATCTTATTTGCTTATTTTTGTGATTCAAGAAAACGAAATTTTTATATCCGTGATCCGTGATCCTCATTTTTTTCCGTTCGTGAACCGTGCCATAGACCCCCCTTGTACGAGTTAAAACGTCAAAGTTATAAGCTAACTTATACAGCGTGCAAAATCAACTTGTTGAAAAGTGGAAAAGGGCGTATAAGAGTATTATAAAGAGTATCAGATTCAAGTCTAAACCTCGGATAGTGCTTTTCAAGCAGTCTGATTGACTCATTGAATCTCGGTTACCAAGTATTGTACTTGTGTTAGGAAAATAAGTGCGGCAGATGTCGCTTAGTTTAAAGTCATTCAAGTGGCTGTGGAAAGTTCTACCAGAACAAAAGGAGCGAGCTGCACCGTGTACGTGGTTCTATAACTGGCTAATCGAATCAATAGGTAAACAACACAAACAATGCTCCTAACCCTAAGAACAAAAGAGATGGAGATTGACAATAACGAATCAAAATAGAGGTTTTAAAGAGATGCGGGTCAACTGGAACAAAATGGCTGAAATCAGCAGAATTGGTAACTTCCTACCGCAAAAATACGGGAAACAGTGGGCAACGCCATTCAGAAAACCGCAAAAAGCCCCAAAATGTCACAACTATAAACTACCTCAGAAGAGCTTCTAACCATTGAAGAATTTCGTTAACCAATTATTCCATTCGCCCTTTTTGTAAAGATCGCAACAACCTATGCCTTCTTCCTTAATATAGAGATTTATCCAAGCCTATAAAAGGGGAGCTCCTGGGCCGGTTTGTTCAAAGCCCGATTAAGATAGCTCAGGTCAAGCGAGAATTTTTATTTTAGTTTCGTAACTTTGCAGTGAGGTTTCCTGTATATTGTTTGTCCTTCTGTTTTGAGTTTGGATTATCTCAAAATACACAACAGTAAAGCAGTGGAAAACATTTGTATACAAGAAATATTTATATTTCTGTTAACTTTTAATCCTGAAAGAATGAGAGATGCGAATGCAGCCATAACACTACTGCAAAAATGACCTGAAAAAATTTCAGGCCTTGAACGCGATTCGAACCCACGACCTCTGCGATACCGGTGCAGTGCTCTGCCAACTGAGCTATCAAGGTCGTGGGTTCAAATCCCGTTCAGAGCCTGAAATTTTTTCAGGTCATTTTTCAGTAGTGTTATGGCTGCATTCGCATCTCTCATTCTTTCATTATTTAATTGCTACTGTTGGACATCTATTACCATTTTAATCCTGAGTTAGCGTTAACCGGCTTCCGAACAACCCGGCCCCTTTTAAACAAGTTAACCTGACATGAGCCCGCGATCCAATAGAAAACCAGCACTTGGTCACTTGGTCAACTTCAAAAAACATGTGACGTCGATGAGCTCTAAACTTGAGCCCGCAGTATTGTCACGTGATACATGGTCAGCGGAACCTTGATTTGACAGGTGTCAGACGACCTTAACGTGGATGTCCAATATCAAAGGAGGCTATATCAAGGCTATGTCTCTGTCAACCTTTTAGCTGGAGTATGGCCGCCATCTTGCGAAACTCCGTCGCCGTCGTCGCCGTCGTCGTGCCTACGCGCTCACGAGCAATACCGCTAGCCACGATAACCATGAGAAAATCAATTCATGAGTTTCTTTGTCGTTCCTATATGGGTATGAGGCTCCGCTTAGCGGCTCTTCGGGTCGCCGAAGCTCCGCTATTAATCACCTCGTATCCAACATTTTGACCCGCTGATATTTGTGTTACATCCTAATCCATCTCATTTCATTTTTCATGCTTTCTACTGTCATTTTGTGTGTAAAAATATAATATTAATAACTTAAATGTATTTAAATGTACTTTATTGATGCAGATCAGAAGAGCAGTCCTTTGATCGTGGCTTCCATCATGACGGGCACCATATGTCTTATGGCAATGTCGTACGTGGCTTGGTCCAAGAAAACAGGCGCGCGTGCTCGGGGCTATCTACCACTAGCACTATCTCAAACAAAAATAGACTAGACTTCGTACCTTCACCTTGTTTGTTTGTTTTTTTCAATTAAGTAGTTCTATTTAGTAGCTGCATTGCACATTATTTAGCTGTTTGACTCACGACTAATTTTGTTTAGTATCATCCAACTAGTGGACTAACGCAAATCCTACATTTTAATTGGCTACGCTATTAGAGGACTATTAGTAATAGTCCTCGAGTAGCGAAATTGGCGCAATCGAGCGGGACGCTTTCTTTCGTTTTATTCCCAAATAAATATTTGTTCAACTTGCGTTTGCTAACTTTATTATTGCCTTTTCTGTCTGACTAGTTGGGTGATACTTGAACAATTAGACCCTTCGCCCTCAAGGGCCACAGGTCAATAGCCCATTCGGTTTCGCCTCATGGGCTATTGACCCGCATTCCTTGCGGGCTACGGGTCTAATTGTTAATTATATGCGAGAACTAAGAAAAAGGTTGGCATCATCAGTACTAGTGCAAAACTAAATAGTTAGGTATCGTTGTGTCTTTACAGACACGAGTCCGTCTAGTTTGCGGTGATATATATTCAACAACTTACCACATCCAATTTGGCAATTAGCCAATCGGAAGCCTTGCCAACTGTCCCGGTACACTGACCTGATATAGCAGGATTTTTGGTCGAAAAATTTGGGTGCGGTAAATTGCTAATCCAACCTCGCCCTGGTGTTTTTGGGTATTGGGTATTTGGGTATTGTAGTCTGTAAGTAAGTAGTCTAGACTGGGAGAGTAATAAGTAGAATTGAAGGCAGTTATAAGGATTAGAAATTTCGCAATGTTTATGGGTTGTTTGCAAAAACTGCAAAGAACCCACTAATTTCGCAAGGGTACCGGGCCATAATAGTAGCACAACTGTACTGCCGTAGGTAATGAACTGTAGATAATGTAAATGTAGATATGCACTTTAAATAAAGTTTTAAAAAAATGATAAAAAAATTGTAGTGGTCAGCACTCGCATAGAACAGGTTTCAAAATAGCGGAAGACAATAGCAGTTCCAGCCCTCAATTTTCTTTTCGGTGACATTTAATGCTCTAAACCAGCTCATCACTTATACGGTATAAGTAGACCATCTTTTTGCCTCATTACTTGAACATACTAGCAACTTTCTGCCAACTGTCGCATATGTTTATTAGATTTTAGGCCATTTGTCAGTTGTCAGTGAAAATTATCCTTAGATAAAACTTTCTTGACAAACAACGTGTCTAACATGATAGTCAGTGGCATAGATACAACGTCTACCAAAACATCAGCTAAGGCCACACTAGACAGCAGGATGTTTGAATTCTTTTCCAGTTCTCTCTTCGTCTGCTATCATCACCAAGAGGTTTAACAGAATGGCAATGGGACAAGCAATGGTCACGTTAAAAGAATGGTAATGGGACAAGCAATGGTCACGATGGCAAAAGTAATCTTAAAAGAATTTGTGTGACTTAAGTTCCAGATAAATTATGGCGACTTCGGGTAATAAAACACTAACCTGGTTTCACTGGAGGAATTGATAAGTGATTCTTCAGATTCCTCGGGAGAGGGGACTCCCAAGAGAAAAGGTTTGGGAATGCTCATTAGAAAATTCGAATTAAACCTCAATGTGGGACCAATCTGAAAGTAGCTCAAGCATTATAAGACCCCTAAAAGAAAGATACCACTTGAAAACGGACAGAGAGCGCTTTATTTATCATTTGTTTGAGTGCAACTCTAAAAAAACCTAAAAGATACCTTTACGGCTAAAACTAGTCGCGTTTCGTCTTGAACACCTAAGCTCACTTATCTTGGTCTTTATCAATGGAAGTAAACCCCCCACCACACACACACACACACACACCCATCGCCACCCTCGGGCCAGAGTCATGATCGATGTACAATTATGGCAAAAGAAAATGGTTGCAGTGGAATATTCACAATCGGTTCTGTTTTAGTTAAATGGTACTGCCTTGCTATCAGTACTACGCCCCTGACTTGACACTAGCTTGACGGCGGATTAAACACTGCTTCTAATCAGATGAACTCCTAACTGTATATTACTTTTTGCGTTCACCGGCTAAGTGTTCTACCAATTGTTTCGATGTGTGTTCAGTGGAAGAGAGATTCCAAGAGAAGTAGGTAATTTCCTCCTTTATTGACCTCATTCGTTCCCGGAAGAAATTTTACGTCTGTTGCATTTTTAGTTCTAATTTAGCAATTTAAATTGACAGGAAATTTGTCGAACGAACGCAATGGCAGTACAAGAATGGAAACAGTAATTTTCCCATCGTAAAAAAAACCTTACAGTTACCTTTGAACTTTTATTTCCCAATTCTCCTATGACCAAGGACAAGGTATATTCTAAATAAATGTTCGTTTATAAATGGTGCAATGAACAAACCAAGCTCAATTTGTCTATTTAGTTTGCCCACCTGCCATTTCGGCAACGTTTCACCTGTGTTGAGTTACTGTAAAATTTTGGTCTAATTTTTGGTGCAGGTTTGTACTCGCATTTTGAACCTTTTAGACCTGTTTTTTAGTTGGAAGATTCCATTCAGGGTGGACAATTTATGGTCATTTGGTTTTTATGTCTATCTCTTCCCACCCAACGTTGGTATCTCCTGATTAGCCGAGCGAGGTCAGCAGGTGCGATGTCTAGAACGGAAAATTCTTCGGAAACCGCTCCGTCGAGCACCGAGTTACTCTTTTAAGAATTTTCGATTTTTTCTGGCCGTCCCAGACTCCCCAAAATTCTCGGTCTCGGAAAATGCAGGCTCTAGAATACAGCTTGACACTGTATAGCATTGTTTGTGATGTCACTGACACTCCAGCTTACTTTTTCCGAGTTTGTCGATCGGCCAACCATGGAATGTGTTGAAAAGAAAAACTATCGCGGAGTATTGTTGCACTGATCAAGAATAAGGTACTTATACTTTATCTCTTCAAGTGTTTTCATGACAATCTGAATTTAATAGATATGTGGATTGTTTTACTCGCAAAACGTATATACAAATATATGAACATACGCAGCCTTTGCCGAGTGAGGGAACACGTGCAACCAGCTCTAACAGGTGCAAGAAAACAAGCACCAACCGGACGGGAACACGATGGAACGGACCTCAAGAGCGGGAAACATGCAGTCGCCGAGCATCGCGGGAAAGACAGTGTCAGCTAAGTGGCGATTGGTTTTGGTTTTTATCCCGGACAAAATAAGACAAAAAACTGACATCCTTAACTCGTTAGAGTTCGTTTTCCCTTGATCTATTGACAGCTAAAACTAAGTAAAGAAATAAATTTAGCTCTTATTAACCGAGCAGGAGGTCTGTATGGGAGAATCTTGACCGAGGTCGTGAGTACAGACCGAACGCAGTGAGGTCTGTACACACGNTTGAGATACACATTCATCAAAGATGGGTACGAAACATTTGTTTTGATTTTATAGGTCTACAAGCCCGCACATGAACTCTACATGAACTGCCAGCTGCTCAGGCTGTGCCGTCTGCGTTATCGAATTCAGATAAAAATCGGACTCATCTTGCCTCTGGGACTCGCGATCACGAGTAATTAAGAAATTTCAAACTACATAAAATCTTTACGTATCCTGCAGAGCAGGAAGCTTTATCCTGCCCTCCAGGCTCTTATTTCTAAAACGGACCTTTTCATTTAGAACCAGCTCAGTGACTACTTTCACATACCATTGTTCCTTTGTCCTTATACAGATGTGCGATAGATGACACCGTGGAGTTCATTCCAACAGTTGACGAAAGGATGCAGCGGTATAAAGTGGAAGCGTTCAGTTTCGTGGGTGATCACCCGTTTGTGTACATGCACTGCAAGGTCAAGATATGTAACGCAACAGATCCTAACTCACGCTGCGCGCAGGGATGTCTGCATGACCGGCGTAAGAGGTCGCTGTATAGTGAAGAGACAAATGACGAGGAGTATAATTTGGACCAGGGACCATTCATTCTTTCAGACGAGGGAAATGATGAAACAAAGGCCCTGGAAACTCTGACTGAAGTGCGTGATGTGGAGAAAAGTGGTAAGCTTCAATTAACAAAAAGACAAAAAGAAAGAAGAAACACACAAGACACATTGAAAAAAACAAACGCCCCAAAAGGTAGATTTTTATGCAGTGTAAGGAAGGTTCGGTGTGACATAGACCATAGTACCGTCTAAATTCTTTCCTTAGGCAACACGTTGGTGAAGTGAGCGATTTGCCTCAGGCCCCCTCAGGCCGTCGGAGCCCACGAGCATTCCGATCAGTAGTTAATCATTGCATGCTTATCTTCAGAATTCCTGTATACAAACTACCTATTGACGTGTTAAATGTCTTTACCTTCCCATTACAGGTCAGTTTACCAGCCTTATTGCCGCCATGGCTGTGGTAGCTGCCGTTTGCCTTGTGGGGATTTCGTACTTTGCCTGGGACAAGAAGAAACGAAGCGCTGCGCGTGGTTACCAGCTACTCCGTGTCGCCACTGAAAATTAGCAGCAACTCAGCAGTGATTCGCCAGCAAGCTTTCTGTAACGGGCTTTCTGTAGCTGTTAGTAGTTGTAAAGTAAACTTGCGTGGAAGATGCTGTCTTGAATAGATTTGTTTTCATTTGTTACTAATATCGCTTTTTTATGACTCTAATAGCGATAATAACAATAATAATGTTTTAGTATAAATCTACCAACGTTCTATTACGACTGCTGCTCTCTGATTGGCTACGCTACTCACTATCTTTTCTGTTGTAGATGGTGAGTAGCCTAGCAGTGTGCGCTTGTTAACAAACTGGCAGCCCCTTAATCCTTTACGTTTTCCAAATATCTGTGAAGAGGATCAGCATCTAGAAAAAGTTTTGAACGACTAGTAGATTTATAGTAAAACAATTAGATTATTCGCTCTCGATTTCTATGGTGATAGTTGACTCGGGCTGCGACCTCGTCAATAAACCATTTTACAGTTGTCTCTTCAGTTACTTGGCTTTGAATGGCAACGAGGCTGTAGATGACCTTGTTTTGATAAAGACCTCACTGCTTTTGTTGTGCAAATCAAGTTGTTCTTATGCGAACTCAGCATTTAAATTAGAAAAGCAAAGAGTTCTGTATCAAAGCAATGTCATCTCCAACCTCGCTTGCATTTACAGGTCAGGTAACTAAGCACACAACTGTAAAAAGGCCTATTACCGCGCGATAGAAATCTCGACGGCTCATAATTAACGAATAAGTTTTGTGTTTGCGCAGAAAAATTTAACTTGTAACACTAATAAGGTTTTCAATACGTTTAGAGATGCATCTCTGGAAATGGAAACTTGTAAACAGGAGTTCTTTGTATCAAGGCAATAAAATACTTTTCAGTTAAGAGGGTAGTTTAAGATGCCTTTTCTTTTTCCTGCTAGTAGCTGCCCTATGGTCTTCATCTCGCCAAAATAAGGCTAGCCTGCGAGAAGGCTCACTTGTGTTGTTTGGGTAGCGTACCGCGGGCAAGGGCGGCGGTCACAGTGATTTGGGTATCCCTGAGTTTTGGGTACCCCCGTACCCAAATCCCTAGTGTTTTGGGTACCCAAACTGGGGCGAGTGAAATCATCCACAAGTCTGCTCAAAACCCAATTACCTTCTTACTAAGCTTTGTGTCAATAATTTAAAGCGTTATTTTACTTGATATAAAGACAATAAGTCGTTGAAAATAGTCGCAATTTAGAGCAGACTGTCTGATCCGAGTCCGCAGCATAACGACATACAAAACCGAATTCGCGCGCCAAAGTGCCTTGTATGAACATGCACTTGGTGCCTATCGATAACCCTTGAAATGCCGT